AAAAAAAAAAAAAACATGAAGAAATAATTAAATAATTAAATAAAGAGAAAAGAAAATTACTGAGTCTCAAGGGCCCACTGATCACCATATACAGTTTACTTGTTCGCTAGAACAAGCTTCCGTCGCAAGACCATAATATCCTGGGTGAAAATCAACCTGTCTTTGCGTGTTCTTCCATTTCGCCGTCTGTCCAAATCAATAGACTTGATAGAGGAGAAGCGACAAAGGCGTGAATAGATAGCAGTGTCTATTTGACACATCGGCGGATCCCTTGAGGGCTAGCTCTTCGGTTTTATCCAAACTCCTCCGAAGACTCTCTTGTGGTGTCTAGAATCTTAGTTTCCATGACCAAAACAATTTTTGAGCGAATTAGTAGGGAAAAAAAAAAAAAAAAAAAAAAAGGCCGTTGCTGTGAGTCTCCAGACACAGACAACAACTGCTAGATTGTCCGAGCGAGTACAAGCCCCAAGGTGACAGGACAGGTACGCGTCACACAAAGGCAATAAAGAGAGACAGGACCAAAAATGTGTATCCGAAAGAACGCCGAGAGGTGAGGCATGAAGGGGCGATGGGTTGCTTGCGTGGAAAAAGGGACCGAACAGTGACTAGTGAGGAAAAGGTCTCAGATCAGGTGCAAGCCACGCTGAGAGCCAAGTCATCTGATAAGATCTCCACCAGAGAAAACAAGCCTCAATATTAAAACGGCCAGGAATCTCAAATCCAACCTGTGATGAGACTGGCGATGTTTTTAAGTCTTGTCTTCCCCTTCTTCTTCTCTTTTTCCTTTGCTTTTTGGTGGTCGATTCGTTGTTCCCGGTACATCACTAATGTCGGAGAATAAAAGCTGCTTGGACAAGGAAAAGGGTTGAGATCCAACCGAGGACCAGAAATGAGGTGGCAAAATTAGACCTCGACTAAGGGAAGATTCTCACCAATGCCAGTGACTTTTTCGATGTCTGTCCCGACGGTCAAAAGAAAGATGCATGCAGGAGGGAACCCAAGAGTTTCAAACCAACCAAAAAGAAAAGACGGCCGTGCATGACGTCGCAATGGGACTAGTGTTGCGGCCGTTCGCGTGGGCACTTCACCTCATCTCCCCCAAAAGAGTCTAAACCCAACTGACTTCACCCTCATCATCCAGTGCTCCTCTTCCCTTTCTCCCCACTTCGCCATATTCTTGACCTTTTGTCCACCCCCTACAGTCGGTTACTGCTGGCCCCAGTGACTTCTTTTCCTATTTCCGATTACATCAATAACTCGAATTTAAACATTTCTTCGCTAGAATTAATTAAGAAAAAGAAAAAGAACAGACCTAGACAAAGATGAGTTCCAGCAAGGATGCGATCCCCGCCAGCAGCAAAGGTTCCTGGTCAAGCTTCCTCAAGGTATGTCACAACCTTCCCCAATTGACAACCCGATTTCTTGATTAACCGATGAGCCCTCCTAAAGTCCATCGCTTCTTTCAACGGCGATCTCTCGTCCTTGACCGCTCCACCTTTTATCCTTTCCTCCACCTCCCTGACCGAGTACTCCGCCTACTGGGCTGAGCATCCGCACCTTTTCGTGGCCCCAGCTACAGAATCGGACCCTGAGAAGAGAGCCCTGGCTGTTCTAAAATGGTTTATCAGTACCCTCCACCAGCAATATTGTACCCGCAGCGAGAAACTCGGTAGTGAGAAGAAGCCCCTGAACCCCTTCCTGGGAGAGCTCTTCCTGGGCAGGTGGAACGCTGATGAGCATGTCGGGGAGACCTCATTGATCAGTGAACAAGTCAGGTAGGTGGAAACCTCAGAACAAGTCATTTTCGACCCCAGGAGGTTGACTGGAGTCAGCCACCACCCCCCAGCAACCGCCTACGCGATTCGGAATGAGAAACATGGGGTAGAAGTAAGTCTACATCTTTATCTATATTCCTGCGTCCTACCTCAGAGGGTCTTAACTAACGTGATTTCTGTACAGCTACAAGGTTACAACGCCCAGAAGGCCTCCTTTTCCAGCACCATCCAAATCAAGCAGATCGGACACGCCCTCCTGACCGTCACCCCGCCCAACGCGGATAAGAATGACCCGGCCCAGAAGGAACAGTACCTTATCACACTTCCAAGCTTGCACATTGAATCCTTGATCTATGGAACTCCATTCATAGAACTGGAAAAGACGACTCGGATTGTCAGCAGCACCGGCTACGTGGCCAAGATCGATTACTCTGGTAAAGGCTGGCTAAGCGGAAAGAAAAACACATTTACCGCCATCTTGTATAAGGAAAGCGAAGGAGAGAAGAAGCCTTTGTACACTGTCGATGGACAGTGGTCGGATAAGTTCACCATCAAGGATGCCCGAACCAAGGCTGAAGTGGAGACGTACGTGGTTAAGAATAACAAGACCACTCCGCTCCAGTTGTCCCCACTGGAGGATCAGGACCTTTACGAAAGTCGGCGTGCCTGGCGGGACGTGGCATCGGGCATCGAGCGGGGCGACATGGACGCCGTGTCTGTGGCCAAGTCGAAGATTGAGAACGCCCAGCGCGAGCTTCGCAAGGTTGAAAAGTCCGAGGGCCGGGAATGGGAGCGCCGCTTCTTCAACCGCGTAGACGAAACCGAGGATCAGGGGCTCCTGCAACTTGCGAGAAAGGCCGGTCTTACAACGCTCGAGGGCGACAAGACTGGTGGGGTGTGGCGCTTCAACCCAGCAAGTGCAAATGACGCGAAGCCACCGTATCATAAGGCCGGTGGCGAAGGCCTGGGGGTCTCCGTATGATTGCCTGAAATCGGGCTTATCGCTTTATACAATCCACTTATAGTTTCATTGATGGCTGAGGCACCGCAGTGGCATCTGCGCTTATAGAATGCGTTTGCTTGAACAAGAATCTCTCTTTTGTTTTAATCTAAACCTTTGTTTCATTCTTCTTGGAGGTTCTGATAACTTTTCGGCTTCTGTATATAGAACACGACGATCAATACACCGGTTGTCTTTTGCTTCAGGCTACTTACTACCTTCCGTCGCAAAGTTTATGATCCATACCAGATCTGCGGCGTTCACGTAGATCAGGTTCTCCTTGGTACCCGAGTAGTAAACGCGTAATTTCATCCCTAATTAGGAGTTTCTGTTATCTAAATTGAAACAAGATCCGTGAGGAATCAATAGTCACAGCCTCACAGGCATATTCTCCAATCCGATGGAGCGCATTAGGCAGGAACCTAGTGTTTCAGTTCCCCTTTTCTCAAATTACAAATTATTATTTTTTTTTTCCGATTTTTGGCCCCCTTCCCCATAGCTAACTATCAGTGCCCAAGTGGGTAGCTTAATTAAAGCACGTCCGTCGTTGATCACTGCCTCAGTGTCAAGGCAGGAAGATCACGGGTCCATCGCATCATACATACTAGTAGTAGTGAGACATCCCGTCGGTAATTCTAGGCGTTGTGAACAATGCAGCTGTGTCAGTCCTGGACACAGTTAGGACACAATAGACTTCCCCTTGCTGACAGTTCTTCTCCCCTCTGGTGGCCTTTTCAGGGTGTCGATAGCCTCAGTGACAGGATATATCGTAGAACTCGAGTACTTAAAAGACGGTTCAGGGGGGAAACGCTATTAATAAATACAACAATACGAGGTTAACGTAGCCCTACGTCTATTATCACCATTATATTATATATATATATATATACTTCCTAGATAGTGCGCTCAAAATCGCCTTGTCCATATCAATCTCGAACATAGAAGCCTGAAGCCTAAGCTTTCCCCAAAATGTCACCAAAGTATATATTCTAACCTGAATGCCAGCCACAACCATCCATCCACGCACTCACGATTTATTTGCGGCCATAGGCCCCTCAGAAGAAATTCAATTAATACCCAGTGTGTAAAGAACCCTTGGTCGGGGTCCGATGGCCATTTGACAAGGCTGACCTATCGAACCCTAATACCTGGAGAGGGGCACGGTGTGAAATGAATTAATAACTATGCGCAAATACTGGAAACTGTCAGTGGTTAATTGAATTTATAGTAGTTCGCCTAGGAGCTTGTTATTATCCTCGCGATAGATAATTATCTTTATGCCCGTTCTCGTCTGATCGTCTCAGGGCACATATATGTACCTACCATATTCAATATGGGTGTTTTATACAGCCCATCTGAAAACGTCGTCAATGTATACAATCTATGTTCATCACAAAGCAGGGATGTGATCCATCTGAGTAAAGGGGCGGTTGGTGATTGTTATATACAAGAAATAAAGTAGGTCAAGTGTGCTTCTAAGCCAAAGTGCTTCGTTCCAAGTTCGTCAACTTCCGTGAATGGCTAATCTATGGGTACCGTAAACTGTCTTCAAGCCTGTGCATGCTCATGGTGTCTGAGGCAGGCTTTTGTATCAGGAGGTTGAGGTTTCCCGGGTACCATACCCCCCAGATCACCATGACAGCGAACATCAGTAATGCATCGAAGACATACATTGGCCATTCGTGACTCAACAGGTACCCGTCCTGGCCCATGGCATATTCGATTACCCGGAATATAGACCGAACCATGATCAGCAAGCTGACTGCATAGAGGGTGTGCAAGTGGGATTTCCAGGGAATCGCCAGGTCGAATGCTTGGGCCGTTGGATGCTGATGCATACGTCTTTGAAACACGATCGAAGTCACAATAAACAGCCCGAACATGATAACTTGGATCAACAAGCCGACAATCACGATGTTCTTCCCCATCTCTGCGTTTGATCCGGTCGCCATCAGACCTGCTGCGCTACCCTGGACCACGAAGGAGAGCACGTCACCCAGAACAAAGACTTTTGTCAACCAATTGACTCGGATCAGCGAGTGATGTTCGGCTTGGACACTACGGATGATGCGGCCGAGGGTCATGTACACTGATGCGGCGAAGAGAACCGGGCCAAGAAGAATGAACACATTCTGGATGCAGTAAGGCAGGATTTTTCCAGTTCTGTTGTAAGCAGCAGCCCGTGCACCATATCCGATTACTTCAACTGTGGGATTGTTAGGATCGTCCAATGCAATCTAACTAAGGGCAAAGCAGCGCTCACATATGCCTCCAATGGCGAAGGCGAGACAGAACCGAGCTCGCATTTTCCATATTTTCCAGAAGTGGTAGATGGTGGCCCCTAGAAAGAGCAGGAGGAAGATAACAGCTGCTGGGACTGATGGTAAATATTCCCAGAGGTAGTAACCCCCTCTGTAAGGCTCAAGTTGCGCCATTGTTGTGAGAGACGTTCGTTAATCGTATGTTGTTGGGGAGGTATTCTGGGATCATCCTCAAAGTTCGGGGGTGAATCATTTTGCATTTATAGGTCCGAACACTGGACGAGAAGGACTTTCATGCACCAGGGTAGGGATACTATACGCGTAAAGAAATTGGCATGAAGCCTCTACAGACTGCACTGTTTCCTGAAGGAAATCGACCGAATACGCGTATCGAATCCGGTGGTGGATCCGATATCCACATGGCCCGTGCATACGCGGATTCCTTATTTTAGGCTCTTGGCCACTTCGACGCCTCTCGCTTCAGACGCTAAGAAGCCTTCTTTAGAGTCCAGCTGGATCCAAGATCTGCAGTGAGCTACCAGCGTCGTCTGCGTACATGGAAGACATGATTCGATAGTGTGTAAGAAACAGGTTGGCGAACAGACCGCAGTCACCCACATGAATAGCCAGTAGCTTCTCCCGGGGATGTGGCGGTCATAACCATGCCACGCAGGACGCATAAAAAGTCGCGCAATGGATGCCTGGAATGCAAGCGACGGCATATAAAAGTAAGAGAGCGACCCTCAAAAGCGCTGGCGGTCACATCGCTGAACCGGAACAGTGTGACGAAAAGCGGCCGACATGTACCAACTGTACCACTTCGGAACGCTTCTGTGAATACGCGGACATCTTTCAAGCTGCTACACGATCTCGCACCAACACTTCGCCAGCCTCTTCCCCCGCAGTGGTTGCGGCAAGAGACCAGCCGGCTGATGTTGCGAGTCCGAGATCCGACTCCCTTCCCCAAGATGCGCCGGTCAATATGCTTCACATGCAGCTTTTGCACCACTTGATGACAGAAACACGAAATACCTTTGAGGAGAGCTTCGACGTGGCTGTCGCCTCCCCTGACACGCTACAGATCTGCATGTCCTCACCGTATGTCATGAATGAGCTACTAGCCCTCAGTGCCCTACATCTGAGCACCTTGCGTCCGGCAGAGCAAGAGTTCTATCGTCGCCACGCAGCACAACTTCAAACGCACGCATTGACAATCCTCAACAGCATGGAGCTCGAATTAAACCAGGAGACATGTGTCCCGCTCTTTTTATTTTCCGGTCTTCTTAACGTGCACCTCCTCTACGACGTATTAATCAACAGAAACCAAGATTTTGATCACTTCCTGGACCAACTGGTGGGCAGTTTCCGACTACACCGCGGGATCCGTGCAATCACCACAAATTCATGGGGTATGCTTCGGGAGTCTTCGCTGAAGGCACTCATTCTGGATAGTGAGAAACGATTCTCAAGTATTACGGGACTTGACCCCGAATGTGCAAAGCTCTTAGCCCTCATCAAAGCGGCCAAACTAGGCCCCTCTATCACCAATACCTATAAACAGGCAATAGAATCGTTGCAGCACGCGATGGCTTCATGCTTGTATGGGAAGCAAGGCGCTAATGTCACCGAGATTACTGCCTGGCCGATATTGGTTTCTCCGGAATATATCGATCTTCTTACGATGCGGTACCCTGAAGCTCTTGCGGTGCTAGCGTACTATGCCGCTTGCCTGCATACACGGCGCGATATGTGGGGGTTTGGGGACGGTGGGCGATTTCTGGTTGAATCCATCATCAAGTGCCTAGGACCAGAGTGGGCTGAGTGGCTGGATTGGCCAGTCCGAGTTCTGAACGATAATCATCAGAGCTCGTAACGAGTTGAGAGCCAAGTCAAACGATTTGAAGGTCCCGTTATTGATGTTGTTAGTGCAGTCATAGAAAGAGGATCCGATTCGGATCCAGGATATGGGGCTAGCCGAATGTAGGATAGTTGGACATCACCTGCCCGCTTTCCTCATTGAGCCTGTCACCCACAACTACCCATACTAGTACTAGTACTTATACGGCCAGGATAAGTTTTCAAAATGGTGTATTGATGGGGAGGTACAATGACCAACCCTCCCAGATAGTGATACTGAACAATATATGAGAGACATGACAGGCTCGGTCGGAGAATATTACATTCTACGCCGTGTAGCAAAGGAACCCAAATTGTTTCGGCTGGACATGAAAATACAACGCCGCCCAGTTTAATTCTTGCATTCTTTGTTCCCCCGTCCCTTGTCCTAACCCAGTCAATGCATAGATGTAATCCCAACTGAACCCCAATATGTAGTACAGGAAGCGGAAGATATGCAAGGCAGACAAGAGCAATAGGGAAGTAAGATTTCGTAAAAAGCGAATCGAGGAAATTCAGAACAAACGTAAGACATTGGTCAATGTCATGAAACCGTACACGAGCAAGGAGGAAAGAAATGACGGAGAAGGGAAACAGAAAGGTAACATTTTTTTCAGTTCAATACAGCATCATGAAGGCAACCCTGCATAACAATTCGAGTCCAAAGAGAAAAAAAAAGTAAAAAAAAATAACAAACCAGCCAAGCTCCCACGGAGAGTAGAGATTACACACTTGAGAGTGACATAAAATAACAACCGACGAAATATAGAACGCTTTTGAGTCAGGGTAGCCATCCCCTGAGCCAAATATGGATTCCGTCATTCGGGAAAAATGCAACGTCATAATTTAGTGCCCGTAATTGCCTCCCCAGCCACCGCGGCCGGTGTTGCCATAATAATTAGCGAATCCGGCGCCTCCGTAGTTACCGTAGCCAGTAGCCTGGTGGTGGGTTTGAGTGGCTGCACCCTGGTGTCCACCAAGTCCACCGAGACCCCCATACTGAGGGTTCAGGTGAGGATAGGTGCCAAAGCCCTGCTGACCCTGCTGGCCTTGCAGAGGGGGAAGGCCAGTTTGTGCCTGAGGCTGGCCTGGTACGCTGTTGGTTGCGGAGCCAGGGCGGTTAGCCTGAGCTAGAGAAGGGCTGGGTCCAGCGGCCTTAGGCGTGTCAAATGTCTTGGTTTCCTCCGTAGTCACTGGGGGCTGCTGGGAAATGGGCTGGTTCTGCCCGAAGCCACCTTGGGAGCGACCAAAGACGTCGGACATGCCCGATCCGAAGGTGTTTGAGCCGGCTGCAGACTGCTGGCTCTCCGATGGTTGGGCAGATCCGGTACGGCCGTAGACGGTGTCACGGCTCGGCATGGCTTGGGTAAAGCTACCGGTAGTTGCGGGTGACGAAGAGTGGTCGTAAGAGAAAGCGTGAGGCTGGCCGTACATTCCAGCCTTGCCATACGGACCATACTGGCTTCCATAGCCATACTGGGCTGTGTGAGGCATATAGTGGTCGTCGTATCTGCGAGCATCATCATACATAGGGCGGTTGCGGCCATATTGGTGCCCGCTCATCTGACTCATGTACGAAGCATAGTGGGGGTTGGAGAAATAGGGGTATCCATATCCGTAAGTATGAGCGCCTGGCCGGGCATGTGCTGTGCAGTCGGGGTCTGAGTAGCACCGGGGAGGGTGGGGTTGGGGGTGTTGTGACCACTGTTGGGTGCGTCAACATGGCCATAGCGGCTGGGAGGCTGAGTAGTAGGAATATGGGGCTGCACTTCCGCGCCCGAGACGCCAAATCCGGCGGCGGCTCTCTGGGCTACGGTAGCATCCTGGGACTGGCCATAGGTGCCATAGTAGTTGTAAGGGAGACGCTGGTCGACGGCGTAGAAGGGAGAATACTCGCTGCCAGTAGTTACGGTCGGCTGGACAGGAGCTTGGTTGGCGAATGGTTCTTGGATTTGAGGCTGAGGTTGGGTCACCTGCTGGCTGAAGGGGTCATAGGGCTTGTGAGCATCGGTGTAGCGGGCGAAGTCGTTGAAAGAGGAGTCAGCAGCAGAGGCTTGAGGAACGGGGGGGAGTCCAGGGGCTGGGCGAGAGACAGCGGGGCTCTCGGTCGAAGCCTGGGCTTGGGTAGAAGGAGGCAAGGAGGCACGAGGAGCCACGGGAGAGTGTTGAGGGGGTTGGGCACGAGTTTCAGCATCTTCACGGTTCTCATCAATATCGACATCAGCAGCATCGCCGTTCAATCCCATGCTGCCGAACTGCACTGCAGCCCGGTCAACAGCATGGTTTCCTGGCATGACCACTGCTTCTTGTTGTTCCATCACACGGCGCTGGGCACCGGCAGCGCGAACACTCTGCTTCAGTGCACTGGTGGGGTAGGCAGGTGCAGGTCGTGTGGGTGTTGCGGCAGCTGCAGCATTGTGAGCATCAAGGGCGCTGCCCACGGTGCTAGCAGCAGTGGCTGTGGGAGCCGGGGGAGAGACGTCGGGGATCTGCGCAAGATTCGTCTTGGTCAAATCATCCTTGGGAGCTGCAACTTCAGTCGCCGGGGCGGGGACAGCGGGTTTTTCGAGAGGTTGAGGGATAACAGGCGCAGGCGCCTTCTCCATAGGAACCGGAACCGGAGGCGGAATCGGGACGGGTGCAGGCTCAGGCGCCTTCTGCTCTTTCTGTTCTTTCTGCTCGTTCTGTTCCTTCTGCTCGGGCACTGGTTCGGCAGCAGGCTTCTCGGGAACAGGAGCGGCAGCGACAGCGGGGGCGGGGGCAGGCGCAGGCGCAGGTGCAGCAGCGGCAGCTGGAGCCGGGGCTGGTACTGGAGCGGGAGCAGCAGCTTTCTGCTGGGGAGGAGGCGCCGGTTTTGCGAACAAGCTTGCCCAACCCTTCTTGGTACCCTCGGGGATCACAGCGGCCTTTGATGCATCCTTGGGGGCCTCCTTCGAGGCGTCGACGGGTTCAGGAGCTGTAGGTTCAGCATCGGTCGGCTTCTCGGTCTTGGTGACCTCGGGGGTAACTGTCTCCACTGTGGCAGGAGCAGCGAGCTTCTCTGGGCGGCTGCCATTGGTGTGGGCACCAGCACGACCGCCACGACCGCCACGACCACGATCTCCACGAGCACGTCCACCACGGCTCTCAAATCCACCACGTCCACGACCTCCTCGAATGGGAGCAGTAGTCGACTCGGTCGGGGTGCTCTGTGCCTCCTTTGGCTTGGGGCGGCTCCGGTCTGTGGTCTTCTTCTTTACCTCACCCCACTGAGAGACGTTACCTAGATCACGACAAAAACCGATGTTAGTCCAGCTATGTGACAAGAAATCACAGATTCGATCGAGATCGACGGCGAACCTTCAGTTATGCGATCAATTGCCTCCTCGAGGTCGCCGTCTGCATCCTCCAACGCAAAGACAAGATCCTCGTCCGTCCAGTCAGGGAACAATTCCTTTAGCATGGGTAGAGTGTTTGCATATTTCTTCTTCATCTGACCAATTTCTCCCTCGTCTTCGAATGTAGCGGCCGTGCTATCTGAGTTGTCTGCCTTTGCAGATCTGCTGCCACCTCGACCACCTCTGGAGCTATAGCCACCGCGACCGCCGCGAGCGGATACCCTGCCACGAGAGGCAGAAGACCTCGTTTGAGCTTCAGACATATCTTCTGATGGGGGAATCTAGTAAATCTCCGGATTGGAGAAAAGAGAGTCGAAGGAGAATCGAGGAAGACCCAACGGGGGTTTGGACGAAGGGGGTGTGGGAAAACAAGGTGCGGCTAGTGGGAAGAAAAAGCGGGTAAAAAGAGGCAATGATCACAGATGCAGCCTCACGGAAGAGGTCAGCAACTAGAACCACAGAGCGCACACAAGGACCGCCCGAACTCGATGCGGCGGTTCAAGAGGGAGCGAGAGAATCCAGGGAGGGGAGGAGAGAAAAGAATTGAAGGAAAAGGAAAAACGAACAAAAAGGGAAAAAAGAAGTCCAAAGGGAGCTAAAAGAGGATGAGCATAAATTATATGGAATAGGGAACCAAATGGAGAGGGAGGAAGGAATGGGAAGAGTTTTGAGTGAGAGGTCTAAGTACGAGTTTAGGTACAGTTCAGTCCGACCGACGTGTTGGAACCCACTGCAGGCAGGGAGAGAGACCCTCCAGGCAACTTTGTCGCCCATTTAGCGAACGGCGCTAACGACCACCCGTTTCGTTGGTTGGACGATCCGAGCGGCGTCCGTGACTTGCACTGGAGCCTTTCACCTTAGTGTGGCGCTTTTTAAAGGGAACGCTTGCTTCCTCCCGGATCTGTTACCTGGAGGTGAACCCTTCTCAGTCCGGCATTTCGTCATCCATTTTGGTTTTTCCCTCTCGTTGCGTTGGATGATTGACGAGATCCAATCGATTAAACATCTTTTCTCCTCCCCTTCTTTTTTTTTTTGGTACGAAGATTACCGGACTCGTACCGTGTGTATACGTATCTATACAAATCTTCTACACAGTACCCCTACAGTTGCCCCCAGTCGGAGTCTATTGACCCATTGAGCATCTTCTCGTTCCATTCCTCGCATTCCTCACCGCCCCCCCCTGGCACCACCGGAGGTATCTACCAAAGGGAGAGCGAGAGAGGGCACGATTATTATCGATAGTATATGACACTACCGGTCCACCATTGGTTACCCCCTTCCTTCCTCTTGCCGTCATGAAAGGCACGTCGAGTCTGAGCTTAAAGGCGTGGTCGAAAATCCACCCCCCACTACCCCGTACCCCCCGGGAATCTCAACAACTCCTCAAAGCCCTTACGTCTTCCTTCCGTCGTCAACTCGATCGGGAATACCCTCCCTTAGTCCCTTCAGATCGAGATGGATCTAACGATCGTACACCGGAGAACCCGCACTCGTCTGTGCACGCCACCGATCGACATCTCCGGGCCATCCTCGAAAACCCGCTTTTCCGGGTAGTACCCTCCAAGTCTGCTGCGGCTCGTAATGGAAGTGGAACAGCTAGTAGACTACAACAGAGAATAGCGAAAGAACCAATGGTGGTTTTCGATGAGTTGGTTGCCTCGGGTTCGGTAACCCTGCCAACACTACGCGACTGCTTAAGTTCCCAGATGCTACTGGCAAGCCGTCATATCGGAAGCGGCCTCATACAGGCCATGAAAGACGCTAAGGCTGGATCCAAGGTTGTCAGTTGGTGGCTTGCATCTGATTCCGTGACAAGACAGATGCTATTCAAGTCCCGTGCAGCGACCACAACTTTAGTAAAGTTCTTAGTGGCAGAAGGTCGACAGGGTGTGGTGTTGGATTGGCTGAGGATGCTGGCGGACTACGATATTGGAGGCCGGAACGGTCAGTTACCAGAGAAAATTGCGCAACAGGTGTTTGGCCATCTACTGGTCAACTTAGTGACCGCTGAAATCCAGTACGGTCAAGGGTTGGGCTTGGCTATGCGGTATTACCTGCAGACATGCAAGTCGCAGATGTTCAAAGACAACGCGGTCCTGAACCTTTCCTGGCAACCCGTGTTCCTTCCAGCAGGCGTTCACTTATGTGAGAGTTTGATGCAGAGTTCACCGTCCAGATCCAAAGAGCTTGACGGAGCTATGTACAATGAGTATATCGAAGTGCTTTCCAGACTCGCACCGAGATCGTTTCTGGTAGCTGCGTCTCCGCTGTATCACCCTACACACGCTGATGCCAAACCATTCCTTGGTTTTGTGGATACATTACCTCCTGGTCGAGTGGACTCTTCAACAGGACTGAAACGAGAAAGCTTCATGCGTGCCGGCTTTGACGCTCTTCGTCTCTTGGTGGACCAAGACAAGCGACGGGATGTCTTATACCTGGCACGTTTCTTGCAACAGCAATTACCCGAAAAAGCGGACTCAGAAAATGCATCCAAATCAAATCAACGCGCTTACACAGAGAGGGAAGATTTACTATCACAACTTGACTTGGCATTGGCTTGATATGCGTAACCATTGCTATTGACGGCGACACGGCCTAATCTGTAAAGCGGTGGTCTTCTGGCCCCAGGCTTAGGATGATATATTTTCTTTTATGTGCCTTTCATCTTGGGTTTTAAGATCTCTCCGGGGTATGCATGCAACCTAGGTAGTAGGCAAATGATTCGTCAATCTGGATCTGCAGGTGACAATCGGGTTTACCATTGTCTAGGTAGACGGCGTACCCGAAACACGCTATGAGGAGAACTCCGCATACTGCTCCACTCCGTCACGCTACTGGGGTCCCCTTCTCCTCTTCTTGGCACGCTTACATATCATGACGGGCAACACAATCAGTGCAGGGAAGGCTTATGTGCGCCTCGAGCTGATCCTGGGGGGTAATTTAATATGCCATTTTTTAATTGGTGTTTTGCTGACGGAACAGCCCAAGATTGAGTTCCGTGTGGAACAGGTTAGCGTGCTGGGATGAGATGGTCTTAGTAAATGTCACCGCGCAACCTCACCTCTCAACCTCCTGTGACCTTCTATCCTCCCTCCCATCATTCTACAAGTGGTTCTCGCTCTAGTAGACCGCCACTTAGCGATCTTCAAGGTCGCTTGCTCCTTGCGATCACATTTCAATTAGATTTGGCTCTCCTAAACATCGCTGAAAGTATCTTTCATCCGCGATTGTCCACACCACCTCTCGTTATGGCTCCTGAGCCAGATAGCAGCGTCAACCCACCACCAGCCCCAGGTATGTTCAGACAGCGGTACATATGTCCCACGTGATCATTGCATCATCGCCGATGCCCATACCACCTAGCTACAGCGAAATATATCGGGCTCAGGCTGATTCTTGAAGTAGAAGCGGGTAATACATCTGGCGCTGGCACGGACAAGAACACGACCGATGTTGCTCCCAAGCAAACCAATGGTGATAGCACTCCGACCAAGCCTGTGGATGCGGGCGACCAATCCAAGGAGAAGAAGTCTCCTGAAGCGACCGAGTCATCTAAGGAACACAAACCCGCTGAAGAAGCCAAGACTAGTGAGCATGCTTCTATCCTGTCAGATGCTGGACCCAAAGAGTCAACTGCGGAGAGTGGCATCGCGCAACCTAGTGCAGGCGATAAACGCGAGCATAAACCGGCCTCTACGCCCACCAACGCGGCTAATTCCAATGCTGAGAACTTGGCGGAACCCGCAAACAAAAAGCAGAGGACTGCTGGAACGCGGACTCGGAATGGCAGTGCTACAGCTCCTGCTACGAATGGGGAAAAAGCAAAGGCAAGTCGTTCTAAAAAAGCGAAGGATTATGTGAAGAAGGTAATTCCTACGGATGGTATTGGCAGTCGAACACGTAGCCGGACTAAGGCATCCTCCTAAGCTCCGACGGTATCGCCACGAACATATGCATTCTGCAAAGCTCACGTATGTTTTGCACTCTATGTCCCTTTTGATCTAGTTGTCTAGCAGGTCCGATGTATGCGCAGAACTCTGTTTGCTAGCTAAGTTCTATTTCTCCGGATCCTGTAAAGCTCTAGCTTGTGAATGAACCGATTTTCTATAATGCTGCATGTAACCATCCATTGCCTGGCAAAAGTTGAAATAAACGTTCTTTATTCTTGATACCATGACATGATATAAAAGGGAATGAATGGTGGTGATATGGCCTGCTTGGTAGGTTTATAGAAACCAGCAGTATCATTAACCTTCAGTCTTCCGACGGTCTCCATAAAGTACTACCGACATCGGCTAAGACTCTCTGGGTTGAGTCACCACTCCCGGAGCGGGAGAACATCCGATGTCCCTCCCCCACTATTACTAGAGGGGAAAGTCTGTGTCATACCCATGAGATAAACTATCTACCGTCTTTATAAGGATTCGCTGGGAAACTGTGAAATTCTTCCTTTCTCTCCGTAACATATCGGTCGGGGAACTGTCAATTGACCTTCACACACAATGTCTTCCAACAAGATTTGGCTTCGTGCTGAAACCAAGCCCGCCGAGGCTCGGTCTGCTTGTAAGTAGCGTGGCAGCAGTCATGCGCTATCTGTCATTATGCTATTGCCAGCAAATTGTGGCATGTAGGTGCTAATACCTCACAGTGACCCCAACTACTGCCAAGGCTCTTATGGATGCTGGCTATGAAGTGACTGTAGAACGCTCTACACAGCGAATCTTCGATGGTAGGTTGTCAATCAGAGCTCCACTATCCCGGATGTGAAGGCTGACCAGGCTCGTCCTTATAATAGATGAGGAATTCGCAAAGGTACATTTACACGTTTGCCCTACTCCCTCCTTGTCTAAAGACTTACAAACGTCCTATGGAATAGATTGGTGCCCCACTAGTTGAGGAGGGATCCTGGGCCAAGGATGCTCCAAAGGATGCGTACGTTTTGGGTCTCAAGGAACTGCCCGAAGACGATTTTCCTCTTGAACACGTCCATATTACCTTTGCCCACTGCTACAAGCAACAGGGAGGCTGGGAGAAGGTTCTCAGTCGGTGGCCTCGTGGAGGCGGAACCCTCTTGGATTTGGAGTTCCTCACTGATGCAGAGGGACGGAGAGTTGCCGGTGAGAGCCCATTGTCCGCGTTCGTTTTCTATGCGGCTTGTATAATTACTGACTTTCCCATTCATAGCTTTCGGATGGTCGGCTGGCTATGCCGGTATGTTCCTTGCTGCTTTGAAGCGCTGATAATCGATATTGATGTAGTATATAGGTTCCGCATTGGCTGTTAAGAACTGGGCTTGGCAATTGACTCATCCCGGAAGCGAGCCTTTGCCCAGTGAAGTTCCGTACGCTAACCAGAAGCTCCTGACTCAGTCCGTGAAGGAGTCCCTAGAAGCTGGCAAGAAGCAATCCGGCCGGTCCCCCAAGATTCTTGTCATCGGAGCTGTGAGTGTGCTTTATATACTGAACCGCATGGCAATATAACTGATAATGTGCAGCTTGGACGTTGCGGCAGCGGTGCTGTACAACTTGCCAAGGATGTCGGTATTCCCGAATCTGATATCATCCAGTGGGATATCGAGGAGACGAAGAAGGGTTTGTTTATATTTTTACTTCTGAGAGACTTGATGTTAACGCGTCAAACAGGCGGTCCTTTCCAGGAGATTGTCGACGCAGATATCTTCGTCAACTGCATCTACCTTTCCAGCGATTCTATTCCCGCATTTGTCAACGTTGAATCTCTCTCTACCCCTAACCGCCGTTTGTCTGTCATTTGCGACGTGAGCGCTGACACGTGAGTACCGCTTCTGATCATTGCCCTTCTCGCCTGTGCAGCCTACTGACTTCACCCTTGATGCAGCACTAACCCCAATAACCCTATTCCCGTGTACGATATTACCACCACTTTCGACAAGCCCACAGTGCCTGTCACCCTCCCGGCTGGAACGCAAGGCCCCCCTCTTAGCGTCATCAGTATTGACCATCTCCCCTCGCTTCTCCCTCGTGAAAGCTCCGAGATGTTCAGCCAAGCACTGCTTCCCAGTCTGTTGCAGTTGAAGGATCGGAAGAACGCCCGCGTCTGGACGCAAGCGGAAGATCTGTTCGAGCAGAAGGTTGCCACTTTGCCCAAGAAGTAATTTGGCGGGGAATACTACGTACGGGGTCTACAGCGATGCTATGGGTCGGGTTATGAAAAAGTCTATCTATATACCATGTCGTTAATTTGCCTGGAGGAAACTATGAATAGATAACATCTGCCAGAATAAGTTGTCTCAACAACTGTGCAAAATCCATTTTGAATTGACCGCATAAGAGCTGCTGCATAGTACCCCTCACGATGCACTCGATACATACTACTAGTATACATTTCTACTCTATCATTTCTTGCGGTCGAAGAGCAGCTCATTGATGGAGAAACATCGGAAGAAAGCTAGAAAATGACAGTGGGTTAGCTAGACTGTGGTTCATCCCACGCCAAATATCTACTAGCATTGCTGCTAATAATTGGGTCGAATGAACCCATGTTGATCATGAACACATAGTGTGCTGATCCCCTTTGGCGTCGTCATTTCTCAACCTCAGGGGGGATTTTCTTTATTATTCCTCGGGTCAAGGAAAATAGTCGTGCTACTAGTAGTTTTCCGAATTGAAGATATGCACGCATTCCATTCAGTATGCAATCCCCCAGCGAAGAGAGCGGAACGATACGGGAGAACGACAGGGTAAACTCCCAGAGTAGAGTGGGGGGCGGATCCCCCGAAAGTTACATACGGAGTACGGAGTCTGTAAGTTAATGTTAATACTGTCGGGTTCGGCGTTGATGAACTTCCGGCCACTAAAAAAGGTCCCTCGGGCAAATCAAACAAACAATTGTCCAGTGGGATCCCTTCTTATAATGACCCTCAATTATTCCATGTCGTGATGACAATGCAGATGAGACCCGTCAAATGGTCATGGATACCTGAACCCGAAGATCTTGTTTAGATTGCATCATTCCTGTGAGTTTTGTAAGCCCCAGTGATTGGCCACTCCCAATCCTTCTGCCTTTCTTTACCCCATTCTTCTCCACATCCTCGGGTTTATGGGGAAAGAAAGGCAAAATTGAAGAGACAGAGAGCTGACACTATTTATCTCTCCCGGTATAGCCGATGGGAACGAACATCGACCTCCACACAAGCTCAATCTACACATTGAGAGGCGTACTTAGCCCTACTCAACTCCGTTATCGTCTTCCTCTGTACTCGCTCGATTGAGGCGGAAGATTACCGCCATCCGCCAGGTTCCTGGTTCATCAGAGGACCCCCGCCCAGGATTCATAGCACAACCGTCCATGGAGCAACGATAGGCGAACTTTGGTGCTTCTAAGAGACGTGCGACCTGTTGCTAGCCTTCAATTCCCGACCCTTTTCTCCTATATATAGTTGATGCAAGAAAAATCAACCACCGTCGCCGCATATGCGGCTGGCGCCTCCCTCGCCGCTGTCGCCCTCTTTTACGTCTTCGGTCCCAACTACACAATCGATGGGGATGAGTCAAGTGATAGCAACCGTAAAAAGAGCATTGTTGGTCTATCCAATCCTGCCAATGACTGCTTCATCAACTCAGTCTTGCAGGCGCTTGCTGGCCTGGGTGACTTGCGTGTTTATCTGATCAGAGAACTCCATCGGCGTGAGCTGGATGGACCGGAAGTCTATAACTCTCTACCGGGTGTAAAAGAGCTCGCCGGCGGTGAGAAGTCGGAAAAAGTCCGGGAGTTGCAGCAAGGCACGATCACCCGGGCTTTGAAAGAGATGTTAGACCGGTTGAATGAGCGCCCAATTTACAAGAAGACAATTTCGGCGCGTCCATTCATCCAGGCTCTCGAATACGCATACCGGACCCGGATTAGCCGTAACCAACAAGATGCACAGGAGTTCCTGCAAATCGTCGCCGAACGGCTTTGTGATGAATACCATGCCGGTGTCAAAGCGCGACAGAGACTACAGGGACCCATTGACATACCCACAGGCTCGGAAATTTCACAAAGTACCGAAGATGTCACATCCGCTAAGAGCCCATCTGAGATTGAGGTACGCATCGATGACGGATCCGAGAACGGCCTGCCGGCAATCATCGATACCAAACTCAAGGAGATCGACAATGAGTATGGGTTTCCGTTCGAGGGGAAGCTCGAGTCTCAGATTGAATGTCAATTCTGTCATTATAAGTACAAGCCCAACCAGACTTCGTTTGTCAACTTGACGTTACAAGTGCCGCAGAAGAGCTCCACCACACTCAGTGCGTGTTTCGATGGCCTCCTCAAGACCGAACACATCGACGACTTTAGGTGTGACAGATGCCGTCTGCAACATGCACTCGAAGTGAAAATGCAAGAGCTGAAGCAAACACACGGAGCCAAAGAGCAGCAGACCCTCCAGACCGAAATTCAAAAATTACAAAATGCTTTGTCAACAGATCCAGAGGGCCCGCTGGAAGGTGTTACTCTTCCACCCGCGGAGGCTGCTCCCAAGCGAAAGATTGCACGCCATATGCGCATTACGGTCTTCCCTAAGATCATTGCGATCCATCTCTCACGGTCTATATTCGACCGCAGCAGTTCCACCAAGAACGCGGCAAAGGTAGCATTCCCTGAGCGACTTCCGCTGGGGGGTATCCTGAATCAGAAGTGGTTCAAACTGCTGGCGATTGTTTGTCACAAAGGCAGCCACAACAGTGGCCATTACGAATCATTCCGACGAAACCATCTCTATCCGCCCTTCTCGACACCGGATGTCTTCAGTTCGTATGCACAGAGCCGAGCTACAAGTGAGAATCCATCGCAAGTACCAAGCCCTCGCATGGGGCCTCGTTCCTTAGATGCAGAGCCTCCAGATCTTAGCATCTCGACTTCAACCTCGCCATCTTCTTCGTCCCTTTCTCCGGCCCCGTCGCTATCCCCGTCGAGGAAGAAGTCTCCTACAGCTGCATCTCAATTGAATCCTCCGGCATCCCCGGCTCCCCGGCCAAGCACGTCATCGAGCTCCCGTGTATCCTTCCAAAGTAGCCGCACCAAATCCAAGCAGAACCTGTCTCCGACCTCAGATCCTCAGAGTCCTGCAACTGACGGTGGACGCTGGAGCAAGTCCAGCTCGCGCCCATCATTTATGAGCGATCGCATAACTCCAGGTACTTCTGCTGAGACTTCTACTGGGCCAACTTCTCGTCTTCGCCGTCGTCGTAAGGCAAATGACCGATGGTGGCGTATCTCAGATGAGAAGGTCAAGGAATGTAAGACGTCGGACGTTCTGGGTATGCAAAAAGAGGCCTACCTCCTATTCTACGAGATGGAGAAGTCAACCAGTGGCCCACAGGATTCATAATCGTCTGACGAGAAGCTAAAGGCTGGTCCTGGGCATCAGACGGCAGTTTCTTTGCATGGTGTACGCGGAAAGGTCCGGTGTACACATCTTTTTCCAAACGAGGCTCCGCACATCACTCATATTCTTTTCTATATAGTGCTCAGACGACACTGCGCTTAGCTTGCGGGATCTGAGCCCAGTCAGGGTAGTCTGAGCTGATAACCGAGCGTTATGTATATTCGGTGTTGGGAAATGTAACTTAGATATATACATCTCGATAGATACAGAACGTCTTATCTAACTTGGGTAACCCTGTGTCGCTCGGTCCTTGTTACTCTTGACTTCTAGAGCGTTGCTATCGTTATATTCACTAGAGTAGTCTCGCGTGCTTCTTAGGGACGATCATCGATTGAAATTCCCTCCCAGGTCAACGATAGCTATCTACTAGCAGGCGAAGAACGTACACGTACCCCCAGGATATTGCAGGCGTCCCTTATTCGTACGATTTGGGCCATTGGGGAGAGGATAACTACACTGTTCAAGAGGGCTGTCGATACGGAAGGATTCTTCCAAGTAAATAAATGTGGAATACTAGTAGTTAGCGCCAGGAATCCTGGTCAGGGCATCGATGGAGAAGAAAGACATGAAGCTTAGCGCGCCTTGAATCTTGATCGACTGGTGCTCGGACACTCGGGCGGTTGATTAGGGTTTCTTTGTTGTGCCACCGTCCATCAACCCGACATTGGTGGCCGCATTGTTTGCTAGATGCGGGACGGATGTTCACACCGTACGCTTGAGAGAAACCTTTGGATGGTACTATGATTCACCTGAGGACTAATTTGTCCTTTGCTGACAATTTACCTCGGCCGGCACGTACTACAATATGGATCACATTACCTCATGTGTTCAACGGCCTAAATCCTTCGCAAATACCACCAGAGGGACAAAGCGAAGGACGCTTAGAAACCGCATCATACTATGTATTGCCATCGGTTTAAGCGTAGTTGGGCTCGCATTGATGTAAGTATCTTGTCTGTCCCCACCCGACATACACACTCGTTGACTTGCAATCAACAACAGTGTATGGTTTTCACTGGTTCTGGTACTCATCGACCGACTCACTCCAACTGAGCCACGTAACGGGTTGTCCCAGATCACCAAGACGTGGAAAGAGCCGTCCGACTCCGTTTCCTTACTCTCTCCTTGGCCCACTGACTGGAGCCAAGGCGTTACTCCAATCCCATGCCACTCCCACAATGACTACTGGCGCCGGGTTCCTCTCTTCGATGCCCTCGCAGCTGGTTGCACAGGCGTCGAAGCAGACATCTGGCTCGAAAACTCTTCTCAGGACCTACTCGTGGGTCATACGAAGTCATCGCTATCCTCAGGTCGTACACTGAAAGCTCTCTATATTGACCCATTGGTGGAGATCCTTTCACAACAGAATCCCGACACGCCTCCTTCAATGCAGCCAAGCGGGGTATTCGATACAAGCCCCAATACAACACTCGTCCTGTTGATTGATATAAAAACAGACGGAAGAAAGACTTGGCCTGTCCTAATGAAAAGTCTGGGACTATTGCGCTCCCGAGGCTGGCTTTCATACTGGAATCGCACTGCTGAGACCTTCGTGCCACGCCCAATAACCGTTATCGGCACAGGGAACACGCCCTTTGATCTAGTCGTGGCGGAGTCGAATAACCGAGATGTGTTCTTCGATGCTCCGCTGGATAGGTTGACTAGAAATGGGATGTTTTCCCGCGGGACCTCGTACTATGCAAGCGTTTCGCTGAAACAAGCTGTAGGGAAGATCTTTCTTTGGGGGCCTAGCCAGCGTCAGCAAAAGGTGATTCATGATCTGATTGAGGCGGCAGCTGAGAGGGGGTTAGTCTCGAGGTTTTGGGATATACCTGGATGGCCGGTTGCGTTACGGACGAAGCTGTGGAATATCCTAGTTGCAAGTGGGGTTGGAGTGCTGAATGTTGATGATTTGAAGTATGCCAGCCGGTGGAACTGGAACTGGTGTATTGTTGCTGGGTTGGTGCTTTGTTGACTCGGACATATATTTGATTCGTTTCCTTATCTTTGTTTATCACGTCTACGAGTGAATGAATCCATCACGACAAATTCAAACTTCATCTATTCGAAGAGCAATTATCGATAAGTACTTGCAGTAACACTCGCTTAAACGAGAATTCCTCCACCATGCGTTGATATGATTGCTCCGGTCAACCCACGATCCTTCATACAGTATATATAAGCTTCTGCCACATTCTCCGGAGTTGGAATCTCTTTGATGGGCAGTTTCTCCTTGAGATGGGTGAACATCATCTCTTTGTCCGGAATGGTGTCCCACAGCTCAGTATCAATGGGACCAGGGCTGACGAGGTTAACCCTGACCGGCGCAATATCTAGGCAGAGGTTCTTTGCCAGCCCATACAGGCCTGTTGAGTACATGGTATGCATAGCCATTCCCTGTCCCATGGGCCTCTCAGCTGTTGCTCCACTGGTGAGTGTGATGGAGCAAGCGGGGGAGTTGCTCGCCATATACTTCGGAGCATGCTTGGCGATGAGGAACGGGGCGATAATGCGGACATTGGCCGTGTTTCGGATTCGGTCCAAGTCGGCTCGAGGTTGCGTCCAGTCTTCCGAATCAAACTTGAATGTTCCCGCTGTGAAGATGATGTGGTCAAATGGCTGGAGTTTCTCGAACAAAGACACCAGTTGATCCTCCACGTCTGGCGCTCCGAGGTCAATCGTCAAGCCACGGACTCGATCCTTGGCCTCGGGATAGGATGCCAGAAGGCGCGCTTGGGCAGCGTCCACCTTTTTCGGGTCGGAGGAGAGGATCGTAACGCTGGCGCCATGTTCGATGCTGGCTTCAGCGACGCAGAAGCCGACGCCGGAACTCCCTCCGAAGATGACGATGTGTTTGCCATGTAACTTGTTCACGTATTTGTTTCTTGCAGCCATCTTTGATCAGTGGGAGAGCGAGGGAAGGCAATGTGTGGTGTAGATGAGCTTTAACAGTACAAGGTAATACGGCTTCAATCCGGACTGTGAGTGTGCTTTTATATCTACTTCTGTGCGGAATACTCTGCTTGGCAAAATCGAATCCCAGCGGTATTAAGCCATGAGGCATTGCGTCTTGATTTCTAAGCAGTGGAAGGATCAACTTGAGTTGATCCACAAAGGAGGCGGCCATCCAGCTGCCCTCTTACTCTAGCTTGAATCCTCTGCTAATACAATCTTGGCCACCTTTCTATGTACTGAATCCGCGCTCGCCGTCGCCTGCCTAATTCGGATTTCCCGCTTATGTAAGTAGGACAAAGGCCTCCACTTGGTTCGACCCATTCCACTCCGGGGCGATAGATGTAGAACGTTTGGCTCTCGGGCCATCTCGCATCATGTTCTGTCCCGGGGAGAGTATAAGAACTATAATATATGGGGCGAATGAGTCCATGACCTCGTATATACAGTATACCAACTATAGAAACAGGCTCGATGGGACCAGTCGAGTTAGCTTTCCGAGAGCTTCTTTGGCAGCTCCACAGTTCAACTTCACCTATGCCTTTTCAGGCTAGCCTTCTGAATTAGTGCTCATCTGTTCTTCTATAACTCAACCATGAGAAGGCTTTGCTTTCGGTTTTCTGCTCTGTCTTTGGTTCCACTTTGAGTCTACGGAAGGGGAGCTTTCAGGTATGATCTCCGCCTCCCTATTACTGATCCGCAAACAAGTTCCCCCTCAAATATTTAAGACCCGTGTCCGCCGCTACGGTGACGACTGTCTTCCCAGAACCTAGCTTCCTCGCTAGTTCAATTGCAGCCACAACATTGAGACCAGTTGACGTCCCGACCAGCAGTCCTTCTTCCCTAGCCAGCCGGCGGCACATACTCCGTCCCTCATTCTCTGAAATCGCAAGTGCCTCATCATAGAGTTGTCGATCGAGAAGAGGCGGGATAATCCCGATCCCAATGCCCTCAACATGATGAGTCCCAGGACGACCTTGGGTAATCGTGGGCGACGAAGCCGGCTCAAGAACAGAGATATGGGTCTCCGGCCGCTTCGCCTTAAGAACTCGCGCAACTCCCATGACCATCCCCGCCGTACCAACCGCACCACAAAACGCATCAATCTCAGGAACTTGCTGAACCAGCTCATGGCCAATGGTCTCGTACCCGACGAGAGCATCGTGGTTTTCAAACTGGTTGGTGAAATAATACCCATCTGATGTAGAAACCTCCTTTGCGCGACGTATCATGGACGGTATAAGGGTCGGTGTGATTTTGCCAGAGGGGCTATGAATCAAGTCCAGGTTGGCGCCAAAGGCAGCCATAGTCCGTAGCTTTTCAGCGGCAAATGCATTCGACGAGACCACGTGGAACCGGTAACCTTTCACTGCGCACAAGAAGGCTAGCGACGAGCCCGTGCTTCCGCCCGTGGCTTCCACGATCGTCGTGCCTGGTTTTAGATCGCCTCGGCGTTCGGCTTCTTCAATCATGGACTTTGCCATGCGGTCTTTGTATGAGCCCGTGGGGTTGGTGGATTCTATCTTTAAGAAGATCTGGGCGCAATGCCTAGGGACAACATGTTGGAGGCGCACAACTGGTGTATTTCCGATCAGCTCTAAGGAGCGTGTGACCGATGGTGGGGGCACACGCATGATGTAGGAGATAAGGGTGTGCTATCTTATTCTGCTTGAGGGGTCTCGATGGTTATGGATGCAGTTGAGGCTGAGGCAACCGCGGGGATGGTGGAATAGTAGTAGCTCATTTTATATATCCAGATTTATTGGACCCTCCAGAATTGAGTTTGCGGGGAACGTGACGAGTCAAAAAGTGGATCCCTTAAGGCTCTAGAGGATTTTCATTATCAAGTCGCAAAAGGTGCAAATCCCCGCCAAAGGTGGTCGCAATCGCCGCTAATAGCCAGTGTATTGTTGGTTAGGTAGGTTCAGGGAAGAGTGCTTGGGGAAGCATACGTAACTTCCCTACTTGCTTCGTACGATTAACGTGAATATCAGCTTGAATTTCAGTAGTTCTCTAGAGGGATTTTCAATACAGAATAAGGTCAGATTGGGGATTGTCCCAATGCGTTTTGGTTACGGGTTGGTTGACCTGGAAGCCTGCAGCAGTCTTGAGCTACATACAAAATATACTAATCTAAACTAGTAGTATTTGCTAACAGACGAAGTCCAGGTTTGATACTAAGAGAACACGAAAAAGGAAGTCTACTCGTCAATCGAAGGTACATATGCCTATACAGCCCATTTTGTTTGGCTAAGACCCCTGCTAGTGAAGTTCTCTCGGCCATATATCAAAGTACCGCTGCTATCATGTCGGCTCCGGTTATTGCCTATGATAGTCCTATCTGCATGCCGGTATATCCATTCGTATCTTTATGAAGGCTTTACTGGCCTGTCAGAATAAGCATACGACACGATTGGTGAGATATGAAATGGTTGATGATCGTTATCGGGCTATACGTATCAGGCAGTTACCCTACCACCCTTTCACGTACAGCAGATAAGACACATACTTGAGTCAGGGAGATGCGTCTTCTTATTAATGCCGTTAAGTTTTATATCCCGTAGTTCCGATGAACAGGTGTATTGAGCTGCTATAGAAGCCATTTAAACGAAAGAATTACTGGAGGTCAAATACGCCGGCCGGGATCTAGTATATAAGTCTGCGTTGGGAAGGCTGCAGGCATGACAGGAGATAGTAAGTAGTATAAGACAAGATCAAGATCAGCTTATTTTGTCATATCAAGTCCCTAGTTAAAGATCTGGACCGGGAGTTGCATGTTCGATGAAGAGGCGACTAGCCTAAGGCTAATCTAGCCTATTCAAGGGGTTGGAGCATAACCTAAGCGGATATGTTTCGATCAGGATTTAACGCTACTTCCTAGATCAATTGAGGACGATGAAGTGGGTTAGTATCCCACCAGTCCATTACGCATCTCTTCTGGTATATTATGCAACCCATGGCCCCATCCTGACCGCTTGCGGCGTGCATTGGGGACAAGTTAGTCTCAAAATCTCTAGTGCCAGTCGGGTCAATGAGATTTACGTTATGAATCGTATCAAATGTATGCATTTTGATGGGCGTTGACTCGTAGCAACGCGCAAGTAAATCGTTACTCCATGACAGGCGGAACGAGATGTAGGGCTCTTTTCCACCAATAAACCAGTAGAAGGTGGTTGGCTTATCAGGGGGACTTCCCGAGGATCGATGCATACGCAGTACATGGTACTATTTTGGGAGCCGGAATATAACAACACCGGCTGCGTGAAGGCTTTCCCCACCTTTTTAGATTATTATTATTATGACTATTTTCTTTTTTGAGTGTCAGCTGAGCAGGCACAAGAGGGCCTAGGCATCGAAAGACATAAAGGACAGAAGGATGCCGAAGGACTTGGAAGAGAAGAACGGGTACGGGGATGAGATCTCCGCCGATTTCCCCGATGTTTGGCTATAGCACGAAAGAAATACGGAGAGGGAATGGGTCAATGTTTTAGCAGCAGAGGAGAACCCCAGATTCGCGCAACAACATCATCATCCCTCATGCGTGTAGGAACCCGTTAATGAGGGTATCCAGAAAGAGTTTGAAGGTGGATCTCATACAGGAGAATGATTTTTATTTGTGATTATCATTATTATTATTATTATACAATAAATGGCATGTCATAGGTGTTTCGGGTCCATGGAAGAAGGGAGGGTGATGATGTCATGTGATGGCGGGGGTTTTCGGGAAGCGCCTTTGGGTTCTGTTGGGCCTGAGGCCAGCAACCAGCGTCATCGTTGAACCCCACCAAACAAGTCAAGGTCGTCACGGGAAGAAAAGGGAAGAGGGACACGAACTTCGATCCATTACCCTCGGGCAACTTCGAAAAAGAGGGACACTGGGAATGACTAACTGAATACTACTTCTTCTGCCTTGTTTCTCGGCTTCTTCTTCTTCTTCTTCGTTCTTCCCTTTTCCCTTTTGTTTTTTCTTATATATTATCATAACCCACCCCCGGGCCTCTTCTCTTCCCCTCCCTTATTTTCATCATCACGCCAGCAACCGGTCAGTGAAATCATACTGATACCATCCGTTCCCCACTACCCGGTGAGTTCTTTCGAGTGCTGTTGCCCCTCCATTAGTGGCTCAGCTGCCCCTCCTCCTCCCTCCCCTTTGCCAATGACGCTTTTATTAAATCCCCTGCTCCGTATTCGTCGTTCGGTAAAGATCCTTAGTTCGGAAGCTCCTACAGAACTTATTTCTAGCTGTTCACCTCCTCCGTTTCCTCCTTCTCCTCTTTCTTCTTCTTCCAAACTAATCCAATCCCTAGTCGAGCAAGACCAGCTATCTGATCTAATCTTCAACTATCACAATGGGTGTCCTTGAGAAGCTTTCCCGCAAGACCGGTGTCATCGTCGGTGATGACGTCCTGCGTCTCTTCGAGCACGCTCAGGAGAACAATTATGCTATCCCCGCCATTGTAAGTCGTCTTGATGGGACCATCAAATGTGAATCATCCAATTGACCAGTCCACCCGTGTCTAGAACGTGACCTCCTCTTCCACTGTCGTTGCTTCCCTCGAGGCTGCTCGCGACCGGAACTGCCCCGTCGTCCTTCAGCTCTCCCAGGGTGGTGCTGCCTACTTCGCTGGCAAGGTAAGTCAAACCCAACCCCTACGCGCACCTGGATCAACAACACGGAGCATCCCGCTAATATCCCTCATTGTAGGGCGTCAGCAACGACGGCCAGAAGGCCTCCATTGCCGGTGGTATCGCTGCTGCCCACTACATCCGTAGCATTGCCCCCGCCTACGGCATCCCCGTTGTCCTTCACACCGACCACTGCGCCAAGAAGCTCCTCCCTTGGCTCGATGGCCTCCTCGACGAGGATGAGCGCTACTTCAAGCTTCACGGCGAGCCCCTCTTCTCCAGCCACATGATTGATCTTTCTGAAGAGTCCGTCGAGTACAACATCAACACCACCGCCGCCTACCTTAAGCGCGCTGCCCCCATGAAGCAGTGGCTCGAGATGGTGAGTGATACCTCTTCCCCTGCAACTGACATTCCCCGAGTCTAACGGATTCTTAGGAAATCGGTATCACTGGTGGTGAGGAGGATGGTGTTAACAACGAGGACGTTGACAACAACTCCCTGTACACCCAGCCCGAGGATATCTTGGCTATCCACAACGCCCTCTCCCCCATCAGCCCTTACTTCTCCATTGCCGCTGGTTTCGGTAATGTCCACGGTGTCTACAAGCCCGGCAACGTCAAGCTCCACCCTGAGCTTCTCAGCAAGCACCAGGCTTACGTCAAGGAGAAGATTGGCTCCAAGAAGGACAAGCCTGTCTTCTTCGTCTTCCACGGTGGCTCTGGCTCCTCCAAGAATGAGTACAAGGAGGCCATCAGCTACGGTGTCGTCAAGGTCAACGTCGACACTGACATGCAGTTCGCCTACATGTCCGGTATCCGTGACTACATCCTGAACAAGAAGGACTACCTCATGACCGCTGTCGGTAACCCCGAGGGTGAGGACAAGCCCAACAAGAAGTCCTTCGACCCCCGCGTGTGGGTGCGTGAGGGTGAGAAGACCATGAGCAAGCGTGTCCAGGTCGCCCTGGAGGACTTCAACACTGCTGGCCAGCTGTAAATGTCTTGTGATACGATGTCTCTGCCGATACGAAGAATCAGATACCAGTACATAAATTGATCAATCCAAGGACGGAAACGAACAAAAGACACATTTTTTTTTTGACTGTAAAAGGGGAGGCCGCTTTTGGTGACTGGAAATATTGCATGACTGGGGGAGTTGAGAGTGATTGGTCAATTACGATGTATGTAGAAGTAGTATGAGGATGAATCCACTAATTAATTGATGACTCTATACGCGCTATCCTTCTCTCATCGTTGGTGCTGTCAACTAGTCCCTTGAGATGTTGATTTATCACGGCCCGGAGGCTTGAGGTAAGAGGCCCCACTGCAGCGTGGTGGCTTTTCACCATGGTGGCGGTTTTTCATCCTCAGCCTTAGGAAAACTAACTGCACGTGATGTGTCAAATAGTGCTGTGTAGGGAAGTACTAGTATGTGCTCCGCACACTGGTATCGAGACTTTGCATCGAGTTCCGAATCAGAATTCCCAGGACTGTTGGAGAAGTGTTTGTTTGTGTTCTATCTAGGAATTAGTGTGTATGATATGACCGGTAGGCATGTCATAAGTTCACCCATCGTGTTGGAGGTATTCAGCAATACAAATCTCAAGCGACCCCTTTTCCTGTTTCTCCTGTTACTCTACGCGATATGACACACGCGATTCCCTTTCTGGATAGTATCCAATCTATCATTGATTCGAGAGTAGACTAGCACCGAGGGCGAGAAGAGTCTATGAACTTGTCTGGCGAAATGGGTTACTATTGGCAATAGTACCATTGAATTAGCCACATTTACTCCTCTCTGACCCACAAGCATGGGGTTGCACCGCCGCTTCGAACCCCGGATGTATATGTCTATGTTCGCTGTGCTTCCGTGTCTAAGGAGCTCTTCATTGGCAAACTGCATCCCCATTTATTATAACCTCCTTGGCCTTGGTGGTGACCAAGTGAATAGTGCATGGATTTCCGTCCCGGGTGCACTGCCAGTATTAATATAGATATAACCGAGCAATCTCAGGGGTTTCCGTACCTGGTACTTTGTGTGACAATGGACTATCCATGCATTAGACTTCAGGTCTGAGGCGCTTCTACATTCACTATGCGTACCAAGTGGTCTGTTGTGCAGAGCTTGGGTGAATCGGGTGCATATCTTTATCCAGTCAGTTGTATAGCTTATATCTTCTTGCAGTCGGGGTTGGCTTACACCGCTGAGAACCTTCGAGTCCAACACCTCCAAAGGCGTATCTGGAGGTGGTTTGGGAGCTGGTTGGCTCGGCACTTGGGGGGGGGGGGGGGGGGAACTGCACCCACAGGGTTGGCAGAAAGAAAGGCAAGGAACAACGCCGAGGGAATGGTCGTCTTCATGCTGAGATACTTGACAATGATCTCCTAGCAGGATCAGAGGAAGCCATAACAGAGCTCCTTATATCTCTACCATGAAGGCGCTGGAGTCGTTTCTTTGAATGCTGCATGGGGCACTTTAGAGTTCTCATATTTTCTCCTTGCTACTCTGCTTCTTTTTTAATGTTTTTAAATTTTTTTTTTTTAAAGCAGACTTCCTTGGAAGGATTATAATAATGATGATGATAGTATGTCTAGTTACTCTGTCTGTTGAGGAAGTAGAAGTAGTAATGAGTAATAGTAGTTTGGTATATATATGAGTTCTAGAGTACTACTAGTACTACAGTAGTAGTAGTAGTAGTATTAAATGTTCATTCCCTGTTGTCGTGCATGCAACACATAAGCTCAGCCATTTAGAAACATGGATCCGACAAAGAAATTCCACGTCCGGCAAAAACGGTAAAGAAATGTCCAATCAGCGCTTGCCCCACCCGTGTCTCAGAAAATCTCGACCATGTTCCAGACTTGAAGCCAACCGATGGCCTTGATTGGGGATCCAAAATAGCAGTCGGGAGTCAAGCTGGCTTCCCACCAATCAGCGGCGTCAAGTGGGTCTAGAATTACTTTTTTGCTGGGTTTGTTGTTTTTCAATATTTCGCCATGAATGGAGAGGGACTTTTCAATGAAGTTTAGTCCGTTGGGCCCCCGTTCCCAATCTGGACTTGACCAACTGCTCACGCGTGGACGGGGAAAACGACGGTCGACAGCTGGAGACGAAAAGTAACTATTAAAAGCATCACGCGTGGGATCGCCTGAGACATTCGAGTCAGGGTCTCCTTCGACGTCACTGATGGATTTTCATACGGACTGATCATTGATCTTCTTCTCCCGTACAAGTGATCGTCCGCCGAGAAAAAAAGAAAGACCGTCGACTCCACCCCACTGACCTACTGTGCTCCGTACGTACTGTCAGACGTTCCGAGGAGTTTGGGAGCCAAAGGATGACGAACTAGGTTTGATATGTTCCAGGCCCGCCTCCACTCGTTACCCACTCTTTCGCCTTCCTATCTATCCTTGTTGTCACTTTTTATCTGTCGCATCCATCGTGCATACCTTCGTTCGTTTCCCTACTATTCTTCCGGGTTTCCCTCTTTTGGATGTCTCTTTGCTCCTGCGACATTCATTTTTCTTTTCTCTTTCGTCCTGCCCGTGCCTCGATCCTCTAATCTATTGCCTTCAATCCATGTCGCCTTGATCGGCAAGGCATGATGGATACTAGTGCTCTATGGCGGCGTGAGGATTCGACAGAACAATTCCTGAAGCTCATCCAGGATCCCTTCAAGTCCGCTGTAAGTATACTGTCCGTGCTGTGATTTATTTTTATCCTTTTCCGCCCTCTCTTTCACAGACGGCCCACAGTTCATCTCCATACATGGTATTCCCTTAAGAGCCACCGAGCTAACCTGGTCAGTTTCAAGTCAATGCCGTCTGGGCTTCGTTGGCCACCTCCGCCGGTTCTTCCGTCCTCCTTGCCCTACTCTTTTCGCTGTTCCGACCTCGACACACGGTTGTCTACGCCCCTAAGGTTAAACATGCAGACCGCAAACATAGCCCTCCCCCGGTGGGAAAAGGCTTCTTTGCCTGGGTTAAACCGGTTTTGCGCACGAGAGAGCCAGAGCTCGTCGACTGCGTCGGTCTCGATGCCACTGTCTTCCTGCGCTTCACCAAGATGTGTCGCAACATCTTCATCTTCCTGAGCATAATCGGCTGCGGTGTAATGATTCCTCTCAACCTGACTCAAAGCAACAAAGACTCTAGAGCGACGCTATCTGCTTTCGTGACGATGACTCCGCTTTATGTCAATGTTCAAGCTATTTGGGGTCAAGTGGTCTGCGCGTGGGCTTTCGACTTGATTGTCGCATTTTTCCTTTGGAGGAATTACAAGGCCGTTTACGCGTTACGGAGGAAATACTTCCAGAGTTCTGACTACCAGCGTAGCCTTCATGCCCGGACTTTGATGGTACATATCTTGCCCTGCTAATGGAGCGGCGATGCAATACTTTGGTGCTTATACTGACCGTTGCTTTCTAGGTCACTGACATTCCATCAGCAGCACGATCGGACGAAGGTGTTATGCGTCTGGTCGATGATGTTAACCCCACCGCTGCTCTACCCCGTGCCACTATCGGCCGTAACGTTAAGGGTCTTCCCAAACTCATCAAAGAACACGAGGAAGCAGTACGCCAGCTCGAGTCGGTATTGGCGAAATATCTCAAAAACCCCGATCGACTACCGGCTAAGCGACCTACGATACGCCCGCCCCGCAAGGAGAAAGGCGATGAGACGCCCGCCAAGGTAGATGCCATCGATTACTTGACTGATCGGATTCAGTTATTAGAAGAAGAAATCCGGCACGTTCGAGCGTCGATTGACAAGCGAAATGCCATGCCGTTCGGTTTCGTCAGTTGGGAGAAGATTGAACACGCTCATGCTGTCGCTTACACTGCACGGAGAAAGCGGCCGCAGGGAACAACGATTAGGCTCGCTCCACGGCCAAATGACCTCATCTGGGAAAATCTGCCTTTGTCAAAACAGGCACGAAAATGGAAGCATTTCGTCAACGTCATCTGGGTCTCGATCTTGACAGTCTTGTGGATCGCTCCCAACGCTATGATTGCCATCTTCTTGTCCAATTTGAACAACCTAGGGTTGGTCTGGCCGGCTTTTCAAACGTCCCTTAACGGCAGCCCACGCGTCTGGGCTGCTGTCCAAGGTATTCTGTCTCCCGCCATTACATCCTTGGTATATGTTATCCTACCCATCATCTTCCGCCGGTTGTCCATCCAGGCCGGTGATGTAACCAAGAGTTCTCGAGAGAGGCACGTGCTTCACCACCTTTATTCATTCTTTGTCTTCAACAATCTCATCGTATTCTCACTATTCTCGGCCGCGTGGACATTCATTGCAGCTGTTATTGACAAGAAAGAGAATGAGAATGCTTGGCAAGCTATGATCGATGGAGGCTTCTACTCTAAGGCCGTGAGTGCGTTGTGTAATGTGTCCCCCTTCTGGGTGACATATTTGCTGCAGAGGAATCTAGGAGCGGCGATCGACCTCGTGCAGCTGATTCCCTTGGTCTGGGTATGGTTCTCCAAGACCTTTCTGGCACCAACGCCGCGACAGGCCATCGAATGGACGGCTCCGCCTCCATTTGAATACGCAAGCTACTACAACTATTTCCTGTTCTACGCCACCGTAGCGTTGTGCTTTGCGACTTTGCAGCCCATTGTTCTACCAGTCACTGCTCTCTATTTTGGGTTGGATGCGATGATGAAAAAGTATCTCCTGCTGTATGTGCTTGTGACGAAGAACGAGTCTGGAGGGCAGTTCTGGCGTGTTGTGTTCAACCGTATGGTCTTTGCAGCTATTCTAGCCAACGCTGTTGTTGCGCTGGTGGCTACAGCCAATGGCACCTGGACAATGGTTTTCTGTGTAATCCCATTACCTTTTCTATTACTGGGATTCAAGTGGTACTGTGTGCGGACGTTTGACATTGACATGAAATATTACAATCGTGCGAATCTGAGCGATGCTGAAGCCTTGGAGATAGGGAAGTCGAGCAAGAAGGGGTCAGATCGACTCAGTTCTAAGTTTGGCCATCCGGCGCTCAACAAACCGCTCATCACGCCGATGGTACACGCAAAGGCTGCCGATGCGCTAAAGCGTATCTACCGGGGTCGATTAGGCGCTTCAGAGGTGGAGGGCGAGTACACAGATATTGCAATGGATCCCATGTCAGCATCCCATCCCGGAAAGTCCAAGATGGAAGCCTCGGAATCCGCCCCATTCGAGGTTGTTCCTGAGAATCATCTCGACTTTTCCTACTATAAGGACCGGCCGGATTTCCGTGACGAGTTCGGCGGGGGTATCTATGGCCGGCCGGAAGACTTGATCACCGAACGCTCGCACACGCCGAGGACTGGGCTAGGCGAGTGGTCGCCAACTTCATCACGAGCAGCGTCTCCAACGCCATCACTACCCTCCATATCCGGATTGAGACAGTATGATGGCTATGACGCGAGTACGAATGAACTCGTCCATCCTGCGTTCCGCACCCCACTGTCTCACTCCGAAAGTGGTCTGGTGGGCAACGGACTCTATCAGCATGATGATGAGAGTGAAGCACGACTGCTCAGTCAGGCGCAGGGGCCAGCGATATCAGACAGCGCTCACCCATTCAATCGATGGCGGCCAGGAGGATACGGGCCTGTAGAACAGGAAGATCCAAGAACTTCCTACGACTACTACCGCAGACCACGACAACTGTGATTAACGAAATTACCTGAATATACCATAGATTGATTTCTTCTTTTGTTTTTGTTTTTGTTTGGTTGTGGTTGTTTAAAGAGCTTTGGAGTGAATCGGATATGACTGGACGGGGTCCAACGGAAGTAACGCTGCATATACGTGCATATGATCTGGATATCTGTGTTGTATTATATGAGCCGAATTGATTGTACATAGAAGCGACCAAAGTGGGACGATGTATTCAGCTAGGTAACGGTGTGTTGTCTTGTATGTGCTGTACTTCGCTGGAAGGGATTCCAAGGTGTATCAATTACCCGATTGGGTGGCGGCCAACTCTCGGAACTCGGAAGCCTTGTTTGTTCTCTCCCCTGACAACTTCATGTCTGTACTTTCACTTTCACTTGGTCCCCGCCCCCTTAATCGAACACCATATGCGATGAGGTTGTTAGTCTCCCTTAGCTCTCTTGCCACAGGCTGACCTCCATCGACAAACCGTTGCCTTCCCCTCTTTCCACGTCGCATCACACCACCATTCGTTACCGCGGCCTCCGCAAACAACCGAGTACTTGAGGTGCTCAAATACACTCAGAGCCACGTTGTCTCCGGAAAATTCCCTGAATTCCTTGGACTTCCTGGTGAATGCTCATGGTTGCTACTAGGTGGCAACCATCTTCGACAGCCGTTTGGACCGGGTTTCAATAGCCGTCATACCCCGATAGCAGCTCTCCAGCACATCGATCGCCGAACAATCTCGAGGACGAAACGAAATAAACATACATACTTCACAAGCATAGAATGGCGTGGTATTCGTTATTTCCAGCCGACCTCATCTATCTCGAAGCCTGGATCGCCCGACTCTTTGTAGGTATTCTATGTTGCGCAGTTGGTACCGATGCCTCCCAGAATATGCGCGCTAACTGTCTTCTTATCGCAGCTCATCCTGGGCCTCATCACTATCGCTCCCTGGGCCACACTTATCATCTTCGATATGGCCCTCTACATCTGGCGGATGTTGACGTATGAGCTCCCTGTAATCGGTGGCCGGGCGAGGGGGAGGCAGCGGCCTCGTGCGCCCAGCCTGAATGAAAGACCAAATGGCCAGCGGAGGGCCTTTGTGCTAGCAAGCTACGAGGCAACTGCGGCAGAAAATGAAGAGAGTAACGAGCTAAAACGAAGGTTATCCAGGAATGCGTCTAGTTGAAACACTTTTGCTTGGGATTTCGTGGTATTCGAGGTAGAGCACTTCCTGGTGAGGTAGTCGAATACTGCGTGCATTCCATTTTGCGCGCCGGTCGATACCTCAGTATGCACTTTCGACTTTACTCTCGCTTTGTTTTATTCGTTTTTGGACATATTTTGCCGCGGATCTTGGCGTTATCTATTGTCAGCTTGTCTGAGCTCTGACTTATCTGGCGGTCTGAGTTGTCTTGTTCATTTGATACCCCCTGTATGTATATCAGACCCACTACTACTGCAATGTTATTGATGTGTGCGCGGTACTCACGATGAAAAGGGACCAGATATTCGGTGCTCTGAGCAATCGGCGTTGAACGGGGTTGCCGACCAATCGCAAGACCGAGAATTATCTAATCCTGCCATGGGCATGGGAACTATATCCATCTCTCCTCCGCACCCATGACTCCTCCGGATTGTGAGCGGGCTTTCCATTGAACAGGGAATCCAGAACAAGTGACTACAACAAGATGGGGCTCTATATGATTGACGCACTAGCCACCTACACGGAGAAGATGCCGCTAGTGCTTCTCATTCCCCTTCTCGGGGTTGGCATTGCCCTTTGGAAATACGTATGACTTGTTTCCATGCACTTGAGCCGACATTTTGGCTCACGAGCTCAGGAACCAGCCGTCCCCATCAACCGCACACCAAAGCCGACATCCCACAATGAAAGCCAAAAGACATACCCGCCCATCGAACCCCTCCCGGACTTCAACTGGGAGACTACCGAGCCACTGAAATTCCGGCCCTTTAAGCCAAAGTACCACTTAACGATGGGTATGTCTCACACAGCTAAAGTCCTGACTAGGTATGCACTTGATACTAATTACGCCAAGCATTATCAAACCTGGACCCCTCAACACTCATTCAGATGGACAAAACTTACAAAGACAGACTAGCCATTCGCTCCTCCCTCCTTCAGAAATATCCCGACGTTGTCGTCGGAGTCAATAGCGAGACCGATCCGCGAATCTACGCCGCAATCCGAGAGTTATACGTCTTCATTGTCGGGACATATCTACCCACACGGTACCCTCGGATGTTCCGACTGACTTCCCAGCCAAGCGATGACAACAGCAAGACAGGAACGGAAACCAAGACACTCCTCGAGAGTATGGTCACAGGAGCAAAGATTCCATTACACTTCAATGAATCCGAACCCAGATCCAGGACAGGGCGAAAAGAACTCGAGACCCTGGGAACGCTAGTGGACGAGGAGTTTCTTATTCTCCTCCCTGAATCCTCTTCAACTCACCCCTCAAACACCCAAGGAGAATCCGAAAAGTACATACTAGAAGCATATACAACCTTCTTCCCCTCTGGGTTCGACACGCGCAAGAAGCTCGGCCTCCGACTCGCGTCCATCCACACCCCGGTCCCGGGGTATAAGGAGAAGCTTGAGCGCAGCATGGACCGGTTCTTTGCGCGGGTCGAGGTCGGCCAGTTCGTGCAGAGGGTCAATTGGAGTGTTACTACCGATTCGGAATTGTTTGCTGCGTTTGGCGGCGTGCACGGGGACGAGAGTGAAGGAGAGAAGGCTTTGAAGCGTGCGGAATTGGACGTGGATTCTACAGTTTTGAGGTGTGAACGGCAGACGTTGCATCGTCTTCCTCAGAGTAAGGGATTGGTGTTTGCGTTTCATACATATACGTATCCGATCCAGATGATCAAGGATGAAGGGCTAGGAGAGGATCTGGCGGCTGCTATTGATGGGTTGAAAGAGGGCAATGTGCCTGGAATGCATTGGTACAAACGGGGACCAGTTTGGGGCGAGGCTGTGAAAGCGTTTCTGCGCTCGTAATCACGTTTCGTGTTGTTTCTTCATTCTATTACTTTTATTGGTTTCTTTTGTTTATCATATCTAAGTCAGATCGTTTCTTAGCCTTTTATAAGGTGGTTTAATGCAGTCTCTGCACGACCTTGATCAAGTCGGCGGACACGCCCATGGCAGTCACGTCGCCGCCAGCACCGCTGCCCTGGACAACGAGGGGGTTGCCACCGTACCGCTTCGTGTAGAAGCTGATGATGTTGTCACTGCCCTTCAGACCAGCAATGGAGCTATCCTTATCGAAGTACTGCAAACCGACACGGACCTCCTTCTTACCAACATCAATGCTGCCAACGTAACGCACAACCTTACCTTGCTTCTCAGCAGCTTCCTTGATTGCCGACATCTGGCCATCGAACTCGGGCAAGCGGGTCATGAACTCCTTGATACCATCAGCAGTGGAGGGCACCGACTCGAGCTCCTTAGGAATCAATGACTCAATTGGGAACGAGTCGGGAGACTTGACCTCCAGACCGGCGATACGCGCCAGAATAGTCAGCTTACGGGCGACGTCCATGCCGTTCAGGTCATCACGGGGATCAGGCTCGGTGTAGCCGAGCTCCTTGGCCTTCGCAACGACCTCGCTCCACTTTGCGCCGGACGGCCCAGACACCGGGGCGAAGGTGTTGAACAGGAAGGACAGCGTGCCAGAGAAGACACCCTCGATGCGGGTGACCTCATCGCCGGTGCTAACGAGGTCGCGGAGGGTGGAGATCACGGGGAGACCTGCACCGACGGTGCTCTCATGGTACACGAGGGCATTGCCCTCTGCGGCGGCAGCGAAGATGTCCTTCCACAGGGAGAGGTCGGAGGAGAAGCCCTTCTTGTTGGGGGTGACGATGGAGATGCCCTTGCGGAGGAAGACGGGGTAGGAGCTGGCGAGGGTGAGGTCGCTGGTGTTGTCGACGAGGATGGAACGACCGGGGGCGGAGGAGAGGTAGGAGGCAATCTCGTCGACGGAGAGAGCACCCGCTTTGACAAGAGAGGGGGTCTCAACGACGGTTTTCCAGTCGGCAGCGGGGATGGCGGGGGAGTAGGCCGGTGTCGGAGACTGGAGGGTCTGGCTAGAGCGAGCGAGGAGGACGAGCTTGGGGGCATTGGGGAGACGGGCAAGTTGGCTCAGGAAGGCTGTGCCTACGCCTCCGACTCCTGCGATGATGTGAGTATTTTGTTTGAAAATTGGGGTTGAAGGGGCATGTAGTGTATGAGTGTTGTTGTTGGTTGTAGATGTTTTTTGGTACGTACCAATGACACCGAGATAGACGGGGTTCGACATGATGATAGGCAATTGATCGGGAACTGGGCTTGAATGGTCACCGGAAGAAGTAAAGCAGATATCTAACACGAGAATAAGCACCTCCAGAAAGACTAGGGGGAAGGAGAGAAGTACGAACCGAGATGATGTCGACTGAAGATGGAATGAATGACAAGTCTGGAGGGGCTTCCGCGGGGCCATCTATGGAGGGCCTTAGTCATACCTGTCTATTCCCACTTAGTCCACTTCCAGCCATCACGCCTTATCGATTACCCCTTCAAAACCTCTACACCTTACTCCAACACCTCCAACAAGCCCCATAATGTCGAATTCAAATTCGCTATACGGCATCCCTCGCTCCAAATCAACTTCCCAATCTCAATCCAATGCCCCTTCGTCCTCCACCCTCGCCTTCACAACAGCTCTTTCCTCCCTCATCAACAAAGACGCCGACGCCTCCACCCGCGGCCGACCCCGACCATCCAAAGCCAACAAGTCAGACATCTTCGCGCGTCCCAACAAAGGCGCCCAGAAACGTGCCGCCGCTGACCTCCGCGACGATGACACTCACCAAACACACCAGCGGTCCCAAGATATCGGGGGCGTAGACACCGCCACGCTGCACCGCTCCAAGCGGCGAATGGAGGAGAAGGCGCGGATGTACGAGGACCTCAAGAAGGGGCTGTACCTGGCGGCCGGGAGCGACTCGGAAGAAGAAACGCAGGACGAATATCTGGCGCGACTACGGCGGCGGGAGAAAGAGGGGCTGGTGAATTTCGATCAGAAATGGGCAGATGCACAGCGAGGCAAAGGCTCTGGGAGTGACGGTGAGGAGGAAGAGGAGGGGGAGGATGATGAAAATGCGTCAATTGTGTCCTATGAGGATGAGCTTGGTCGGACTCGTCGGGGAACCAGGATCGAGGCGGCTCGTGCGGCCCGATTGAAGGAAGAAGCAAATGAACAGAGTGACGCGAAGGAACGTTGGCGTCCTTCTCGGCCGGACAATCTGATCTACGGGGCTGCTGTGCAGGCTGAGGCGTTCAATCCTGATGCCGGCTTGGCGGCGCAGATGTCGTATCTGGCTAAGCGGAGAGATCGGTCTCCTACTCCTCCAGAAGAGACGCATTATGATGCGGACGCGGAGGTCCGGAATCGGGGCACCGGGTTTTATGCCTTCTCCAAGGATGAGAATGTGCGTCGGCAGCAGATGGAGGAGCTTATGAACGCACGAGATGAAACTCAGCGTGAGCGAGAGGTCCGCCAAGAGAGAAAGGCCGAGCGAGAGCGGGTGAAGGATGAACGGAGGAAGAAGATTGGAGAGCTACGGTCAAAAAGGCAGGCAGAGATATTTCTTGCTAAGCTGGGAGATGTTGGTGTTTGATGTTTTTTCTGTATACTATGCTCTAAGCTTTCTAAGATACCCCTTGATATTCATTTCTTTTATTTAATCTTATGATCTTGAAAAGACATTGAGTAATCAGTGTTCTTCTGGATAACCTGCAAGTTCAGAATAGTAGTTCCCAAAAAAAAATGATGTCTTGCGCAGGCGATAATCAGCCAGCTGAATTCAGACCCTAACCACACCATCAAGGGGTGGCAGGGCGACCTTTTTTAATTTGTAGCACCAAAAGAGACCAAAATACCACCCGGTTAGCTTCATTAGCTCATGAAATCGTAAGCATAAGTCATTAATCGTGGTTGTTCGATAATTAGGATAATATAACAGCGTTGTGGACGCTGGGCGTCAGTATAAAAACGGAGATTCTTTGCTTTTCCTGCTTTTGTTTATTCGTATAATCCCACCTTTTTATATCTGTTTAATGCGTTGTTGACTGATGAAATAGACAATGGTACGGGGAAGTAGAAACAAAAGGTCAGCGGCTAGCGAGTTCGGCAATAGTCTGCATGAATCCTTGGGCATCTGAAAATCCAGAATGAGTACACTGTAGGTGTCATGAAACATCAAGAAACATATGTATAAAGAAATCAGGTGACCAACCAGAGCGATTCGAAAACTTTATTATGTGCTCTCCTCTAGACGTGCGTGGTGGGTCATAGTGATCAAATGTGAAGATTGTCCGATGAAGTTCGCGCAGTAGAACAACTCTTGAGTCAGCTTGGCGGATCCAACCTCGTGTGCCAATATGATTCGTGATGAATGCCGTCCACACTGGAGCCCTACATCAACTATCAATGAGTAAATGGCCCAGTTTCATCTCATCCCCGGGAATCCCACCGTTTCATTTCCCCTTTATGTACTGATGCCTGGAGTCTGATGGCGCCAGAAGTTCGATCTTTGTATATGCGTAGCGCATGAAGGAAGTTGTCGTCAACAATAGGTCTGCAACACCTCAGTTAGTACACTACCCACTTGGCTTGTTATTGAAAATGCCCATACCCTCCAAAGAGCTCCTCTTCATCGTCTAACTCATAATCACGGATACGATCTACTGGTCGGCCACAGTCCTGAGAGCGAAGAGCCAGGAACGTGCAGAAAAACAGTACCATATCTGTTCAATCATTCAGTGCCGTGTTCAAAGACGTAGGGGCGGAAGAGTTGATACGCACGCTCAAATGTGCTGAACTTGAGATTGGCCCATAAGACAAGTTCCTGGCCGCCACGGCGCCGTCGGCACAGCTGCAGACAGGAGCCTACACGGACAATTTCCAACATATTCAGAGGGAGGCAGTGGTAGTCGCTGGAGCGGGGCGAGCGAAAAGTCTTGCACACGATGCGCGCTCGGTGGTCATCTTCTCGTACATATAAATACACACGTAAATCCGAATCACCGTTAAAGGCTCTGTAGCATGTTAGCAAAAGGCATGGAAGAGTGAAGCTCTAACACGCGTACAACTGGAAAAGCTCCTCGAACCCCGTCTCATTGAGCCATCGCTTTACCCCGGGAGTTAGGTCACCAAGACATTTAGAACTATGCAAATATTAGACCGGGTGATCTTTGGTTGCGTTATAGTCCCTTACCTTTCACCGACATATGGAATCCGAGTCGTTGCACGTGCGTCTTTGAATACACTCTTTGCCCAATGGTCACTGACGGTGTTGGAACCCAGGGAGTGACTCGTGGCTGAACTCGTGAAAGGGGATCCAGGTGCATCCGGGGCTGATGGTGGGACATCTGAGAAATTTCCGGACGCGGGAGAAAGTGGTGAGTGCGGAGACGTATGAGAGGGCCTTGCTCGTTCGTAGGACCTTCTATTGCGAGGCCGGCGGTCGCTAACCGGGCTGCCAGGCTCAGCGCTATGGCTACTGGGAGAGGACGGTGTGCTGAGAGACATGCTGCCCAACTGGTGTGGCAATCGACTGCATTGCTGAGCTAGCAATCCCTTCACACCGTTGCGAAGGCTAGCTATGAACGATGGATCAGGGAACTTGCTATCCAACCAGAGGAAATGAGTATGAACACAACATATTAGTGGTAAAGCATTGAAGTGGAATGACATACTCGGTCATATGATCCTCCAATTCATTCAAAAATGTCTTGTACCTGGCTAAGCGTGTGGGGGGCGAATCCTTCCCCTCGTCCCGGAAGAACTCACATAGTTCAATCCAGGTTCGACGATAGACATCTCGGGTAGAACCTCTGCGCACTTCGAGATCGCCGAAGAAATCGACGATATCCTCGAGGGTAATCTTCAAGCTAGTACGGACCAATTCGAGGTCCGGATGCACGATGGCCAGGTTGTGCTGATGACGACGATCGTTTGTCAGGCTATCCAACCTCTTCAAAGCTGAACTGATGGCAAAAAGGTCCGCGATAAGGCCAGTGAGTTCCGCTTCATGTCCGGGGAGGTGCTCACGAAATGCACGGAAGCCAGCGGCCACGTCCTCTGCGTTATCGGCGGAAGTACGCAGGGCCATATTGGACGTTTACCTCTAATAGGCCATGCAGATACATACACATAGAATATATATATATAGATATCTAAAGCCCTTGCGTGGTACTTGGATAGAAGAAAGGGAGGGGAGAGGGATATTATATAATAGTCGGTGAGGTATAGGACGGACGTGAAAAGGGTACGGAGAGAACCCTGCCAGCGATCTTATATTGGACAAGAAAGGGTAAAAAACTGAAAAAGAAAGAAATTGGGGAGAAGAAGGTTAAAGCTAAATAAATATGTTCATAAGGGTAAGTCGGAACAGATTTCGCTGTGGAGGGGTGACCCGACGACAACTCAGTCGTAGAATAATGCAATGAGGGCGTTCGCAGAGAGTGTTGTGCGATCCGCATGCATCATATCGACTGCAGACCACGCACTGAGGAACGAAAGGGTTAGTGCTCTGCCGGATTGACCCCTGAATGGTAGGAGAGAGAAAAAGAGACCATCGAGCCTTTCACAGCCAGACCGAGCTCAAAAATCAATTTCTTGTAGAACCCAAAGGAAATCAGATAACTCATCAATTAAACAATTATCTGTCGCGAGAAGAAATGCGGGTCAAGAATGCCGTCAAGTGGGGCAAAGATCGAACCTGATAGTCAATGGAACGAGCCCTATAAACACCAAGCCATCCATGACCCTCACTTGCGGCTCTCATGCTGACCATGGCTTGAAACGCATAGGGTAATTGCCCTCCAAGTGTCTAACTGACTTGGGGTCGTTGACGTGTCCATAGCGGAGAAGGGACAAAGCCAATAAACGAGGAGCGGAGCTGCACTGGCGCCATTGAGCGGTGATGGACAGGCTGGACAGACTGACAGTGTAACTAACCCAACCCCCCCACACACAGCTTGTCACCGTTCAACGCAAGACTTCATCCCCGTTCGAGGAAAGAAACGATGGATCCCTTGCTGAAGAAAACTCTGAGGACAATGAGATAACAAAGGGGTTCCCCAAAAGCCGGGCATCGGAAGACAAGTAAGCCCATTGCCGGTGGCTGACCTGCAGCAAGAAAGAAGAAGGATTCGATGGAGTCACGTTAACGGGTAGGAATTCCCGTGTCGCTGACCAAATCACGAGACAATCATTGACTCGGACGAAACCCTTCTTGAATCAAAGCGAAGTGT